GCGTTCTGAGACCTGAATCACAAGAACAGTTGACAAAACACATGCCCCCCAGGCCAGTGGGGTTTGGGAGTGGTTTGGGAGCTCAGGCTTGCCTTATAGACAAGCACCCTGAAGCCATCGTAGCAAGAATGGGACCCCCTGTTGGGTTAGGATTTTTAGGGGTTCGTTCGGTTTTTTTGAGGGTGGGATCCATGTGGAGGAGGGGCATCTGCCCAACTCAAGAACGCTCAGTCCACAAGTATGTGGCTCTGTTCAAACGTCATAGTCTCTTCCTTTTTGCTATGAAGGGTACGGAACGGGTCTCAACTTAGATGAACCGCCTGCGAAATTGAAGAACAGAACACCTAGTACCCGTAAACGCCATTTAACAGAAAGTCTTTCCCAAAATCTCCCCGGCATCACAGCAAAGGTCGGACTTTTCGTGAGCCATCAGGGGTGGAAGGAGCGGCAACCGTTAGTTAACCCGCATTGTGCCACGTACCATCCTTGATTGGCAGCGGACTGCTTTCACTCGTCTGCCTTAAGGATTTAAGGTCGGGGGGGTTTGGCCTTCCTGTGCAGGAGGTGTTAGGCTCAGGAGCTTTGAGGATGGACCATCTTGCCGAGGCGCCATCATCAAGCTGGAAGAGGCTGAGTTGCAAGTCGCCTACTCAAAGGATCTCTTACAGAGATGGGGTGTAGCTGCTTAGGGTTCGGGGTTGCAGGGTTCGTGATGATGGTTGGGATGATTTCGCTAGAAAAGGTCGAAGCTTGCAATGCTGGTCTTTCCTCTCCCCACGGCGGCCATGCCTTAAAATCACGGCATATGCCTTAAAATCATGCACAAAAAGTGAATTTAAATTCACCTTGTGTACCCTACACCCTGAACCCTAGATCAAACAATAGCCCCCAGATGTTGAAGAACAAGTATCTTCAGCTAAAAGCGAGTGGTGGGGTCTCTGACCGGCAGCCGCGCCTCCCTCCTACTTCCCAAACCCCTCCTCTACCCAAAGACCCGGAACATCCCGGAACATGAACCCCTGAACCCTACACCCACCAAGATCCTAAAGCCCGAAATAAACGGAATGCCCCGAAAAAACACCTACCCTAAGTACCCTACACCCCCTATACATACCCTAAGTTCCCTTTCCCTCCTAAACCCTAAGCCCTAAACCCTAAGCCCTAAAGCCTGAACCCTAACCCCCCTATAAATACCCTAAGTACCCTTGTCAGATCCTGAGTCGACATGCCTGAGTCCAAGCCTTTGCTCTTCAACTCTTGCAAGGAGCCTGGGGCCAAAAGGAGGAGGGTTTAGGCTTTAGGGTTTAGGGTTTAGGGTTTAGGGAATTAAGGCGTGCGTGGGGTTTCGGGTTGCTGGGGTTTCGGGGTTTTAGGTTTAGAGGTTAGGGGTATTTAGGGTTTCAGGTTTAGGGTATAGGATTTAGAGTCTGGATTTAGAGTCTTAGGGTTTAGGGTAGGCTCCAAGCCATGTGAGCCTGACACCTCTGTCTTAAGTGGCTTATTTGACACTCCCGTCAAGCCTGAAGTTTTGTTAACCCGCCACCGCTCAGGGTGTTTGGCGATTCTTAGTGCCGTCCGCCGAGGTTGGGCTGTTCAGGCCTTAGGGGATTTAGTCTTCATGCCTTGAGGGGTGGGGGGGATTTGCGGTTGAACTCAGTGATCTGGTGGGAAGGGGTGCCGGGTGGGTGGCAGGCTGCCGGGGTGAGGTGTAGCCAGATCTCAATACATCCTAAACTTCCTAAACGCTAACCCTTAAGTTAGGCCCTTAAGCCCTAAACCCATGGTGCATGTTCCAGCCCTGGCTTCTATGTGAGGGTTGGCTTCGGGGTTCGGGATGATCAGTTTTGGGCTGCTTAGATCTTCGGGGTCTAAAGTACAGGCTTACATCATGGAATCCAAGCTCGTGCCCCCAAGGTTGTTCCCCAAAAACTACCCCAAAGGGCTCCCTGCTTTTGCTCCCAAAAACGCCCCCCCCCCCCCCCCCACCCATTTTTCCCTACAGGGTTTTTAAAAGGGTGCCCTAAACGAACAACCGTAGGGTTCCCCTGACTACGGGCTACAAAGCATCCTTACACGACCTAAACCCCAACCCTACATCCTTAAATCCCCTATCCTAGACGGTACGGGACCCTCGTGCACCCAAACTCTCACAACTGTACTTGGACAAGGGCCCACTACAACCAGGGCTCTCTATCGGTATATGTAGGTTTTGCTCGTAGGAACTGTATTCCCCTGGGAGGGGTTTGCAACCCTAGTTAGCATCTCAAAAACAAAACGGGCCAAACATCACCAAACCCTACCTAAACCCTATACCCTTAAGCCCTAAGCACTCTACCGGTCTGGCGCCCAAGGCGCGCAGCATCAGCTCCTCGTCCACGTGGGGCCCATGGCAGTACCAGGAGCACCAGCCTCCCGAGTTCTTGGGTTGTTTGTAGGGCTTCAGGGGTTTAGGCTTTAGGGTTTGGGGGGGCAGAGGGTCTTCAGGTGGCTTTTGGGATTCGTGTTTGGGCTAGAGGGTTTTGGGTTTAGAGAGGCTCTAAAGCATCTGCGTATTCTTGGGCTGAATAAGGTAGGGGTCCATGGCTAATCAGGTTTAGGGTTATGAGTTTTTATTCGGCTTGAAGGGTCGTTCATTGGTTTCCTAGCCGACCTGCCCCTAATCCCTCACTCCTCAAACACAAGGCATAAGGGCACCAACTGATTACTGGGCAGCATGGGTGATTAGGGTGATGAGGTTCAGGGATCGCGAGGAAGAACCGACCCATGCATCAGAGATCTTGTACATGAAGGCCCACTCAGCTGTACATTGTGCTCTGAAGCCCAAACATGGGTTAAGCCTGAATATTGGTAAAACACTTCCCAAGCCCAGCCCTAAAGTCCAACCACAAACCCTAAACCCCAAACCCAAACCGCAAACTCAACAAGCCCCATACCGGCATCGGGCCCCTGTCGGCGGCGTTCTGCAAGGGCCCAGGGAATTGTGCAGCGCGACCCTGGCTGGAGGCTTGGGACTTGAGGGGATACTTTGGCGGGGTTTTCTCAAAGGATTTTACAGTTCAGATATTCAGGGATTCTTAGGGTTATGTGGGCTAAGATTAAGGCTATCAGGGTTAAGGGTCATGAGGGTCTGTCAGCCTCGATACAGTGGTGGCGACATACTTTTTGCCTTTAATATACGTCCTTCGCAAAAAAACCATGTTTAGCACAAGTGCGGGCAAATGAGCTTAAAATTGGAGGTCGGCTCATGGGATTAGAATAAGAAAGGCCTTACAGATAAGAGCAGCTGTTCAGAGGCTGCCCAGTAACCTAGGATTTGAAACGGTGTGCTTGTTTTGCTTAAAGGATTTCATGTGGAACCCCCTCCCCCCCCCCCCCCCCCCCCCCCCCCCCCACAAAGAAAGGGAAGGGCACTACTTGGCATCCTAGTCACGAGGTCTATAGGATGTAGGGTTTCAGGTCTGGGGTTAGAAATCCGGGTCTAGGGTGCAACCATCTTCTCAAGCAGGACCCCATCCAAATCAACAAAGAGGATCTTGGAGGGGAAGTAGCTATACTTATAAGAAGGGATCTCGTATTACGGGGTACAGAAGGGACCCAATGCAACTGGGAGTTGGCCGAAACTATGGGTTGGTGGTGCCAGAAGGGGCCGCAGGTTGGAGTCAAACCACGAGCAGGTCACTTGTACTGCACTACTACTGCTATAGGGCGACGACAATGACGATGGTATGGCAGTCGGTAGCCCAAAATCAGTGATGGTTCTCTGGACCTCCAAGCCTAAAAAGCCCCCAACCAACTTCAACATGTTTTTGGTCTCCCTCTGCCCCTTGAGCACGACTGCGTCCGAGGGTCATGCTGAGATAGTCCTGCATGACCCGGTCTTGCCTAGGCCGCGTGCTGGTCCACAATCCGACTAAGAGCCCCCTCAAGCCCGCAACCTACCGTACGTCAACCTCACAATCCTTCCCTGCCTAGGGTTGGTACTGGACTCAAGCATGCCGAACCACGCGGCCCACTGCAAGTACCCTGACCAGCACGAAAAAAGAGCCCCAATAGCCCCTTGAATGGGCCTCGGTTGGGCCAATTTGGGTATAGGGTAGTTTGTAGTATACATTCCCATGACTGAAGGCATCCCCACACACGCCAAGCCTTGGAATACGGAACAACTCTCCTACAACCCTACATGGTTTTACGCTTAAAGTTCGGGTGCCCCCAAAATACTAGTTCTACTTCTAAGAAGCCCCTGGAAAGGGTACCCTTATTTGACCCCTCCATATTGTATGTTTCAGTTTTCTAGTTCGACTTGGACTTCGGGCTCCAAAAGCACAGCATGGTTGTCGTCCTCTACAAACGATCACTTGGCTGAGTTTCTTTTTTACAAGGACAGGAAAAAAGTTAAACTTGGGCTTTATGGGGGATGTACTACGCAAGAACATTGCAGAGGCTAAATGCTCAGCCTCTAAGCCATAAACCTTAAACCCTAGACCTGGAGCCCTCAAACCCTAAACCCCAAACCCTAAACCCACAACCGCCAAGTGGCGGCGAACTGACGCCGGTCACACCAGCTTGCAAGCCGCAGATGCAAGCCCAGTCCGAGGCTAGCCTTGTGTGATGGAAGGTGGCTGAGTGTCGAGACGACGGTTCAGGGCTCAGCGTTACGGATTGGGGGGCCCCGCTCCCTACTTGGAGGGTCACGGGCATGTAGACCTGATCTCTGTACATTTGCGCCTCTTTCTGGGTTCACCGTTTCAGGTTTTTGGGCCTATACACATACGGCTTCGAGGTTCGGAACCGAGATGCTCTTGGACTTAAGAGTTGACGGTTCGGCCACGTATGGGATCGTTGTGTGGGTGTCTGCATAGCAATATAGGTCAAAGCAGCACCAGTGGAAAACTCACATGCGCCTAAGGAAGCACAAGACTGCCAACTCCGGGTTTGGGGACGAAGGGGCAAGGGACGAAACAATGTCCGCAAAAACTCGGGCATCGACACGTTACTGCACCTTAAGTTTTTGCTCTTGGTTGTGTTGCTCCCGCCACGCGGGCACCTTCAAGCTGCACGGGTCTCCACTCCTCGCCAGGGAGCGCGTTTTCAATCGCACATCTGACTTCCCAGGATGCATCATCATCTCGGCCATTGCACAGACGTGAGATTCGATGAGGGTCCAATCCTGTATACGAGGCTGCTGCTCTCATTGAAGCAAAGGCCTGCCAAGCTCCTGCACCTGTCCGAAGTCGTACTTGAACGGGTTTGCCACTCCGACTGGGGCGTGCCTGTCCCGTTCGCTGCAAGACAGCATGTTTGACATTCTCGGATGCCGTGACGTACTCCAAATTGCTCACATGGTTGTTTCCGCGGTTCATGTCCTTGTGGTTTACCTGCAGCTCTGGCAGGCTGGGCTGACCAAGAAATGTCGCTGCAACCAGACGGTGCACCATCATATACCGTCCTCCCTTTATGACTGCGAAGTATCCATTCCTTTGCTCCGTGCCATAAGTGATGAAATTTCTACCATGCAGGTAGTGCGAAACACGTCCGTGGTTGCTAACCATGATGTTGCGCATGGTCTCAGCTTCATCACCGACATATGTAGCATGTCGCCAGGTCTCATCCAAGGGAGCACTTTCACCGATTTGGAGAGCTGTCCTGAACTCGAACCAATCGGCACCTGCGGTACTTGTACTTCTGCACTTTTTCATCAATCCTCGACAGCATTGGGAGATCGAGGCTTGCCATACGTCCAGGAGCCTTGCAGCCTCTGCTTGAGATGCGCACCATCCCCAGTTCTCGCATCCTTGCCGTCGCCACTCCACTGCCTTGCCAAGCTTTGAGGACCTACGCTTTCTACTCGAGTTGGTTGCCCATGAATGCTTCATATTCTCATTGGGAGTCACGTATTGCAAATTTGCCACATGGTTGTTCGAAGAATTTCCATCGAGGTGGTTAATCTGCCAACAACGCAGATTCCGCGGACGATCCAGAAATGCAGCGGCGACCAGACGGTGCACGTAGTAGGACTGGTCTCCGATTTTCACGCGACGATAACCACTACAGTTCAAGGAGCCGAAACTAACCGAACCCCTGGAGCTTTGAACCCGCCCGTGCGAGCTTACCTGCCATGTTCCCGAACTCCACCGCAGCTGCAGCCGCCACGTGTACCAGTACGAGCTTGGAAGCTTTCCAATGAAGGAAGTGAATCGCTGCATGTTTGGGGCAAAAGCAAGCTACACGGGTCTCCAAAAGAGCCCTGTCCCAGCACAAAAGCATGCCAACACCGCTGCCAGAGCCCTGTTTTAGTCGACTCCTAGGAGCAGTGGTTGGGGCCTTTGGGAATAAGGGGTCTGCTAGCCTTTAATAATTCAAGGCTGTAGAGCTGAGGGTCGACTCAGTGAAATCTAAGCCTTTCCTGTCAGGTGTGTCATGCACAGCAGAGGAACGCATGAAGGCTGACTCTCACAAAGTGGATGAGAGGCTCCCTTGTGAGAATTCTTCGTTGCTCTCCAAATAGGGCACCGCTGCCGCGGCGTAACCTCCAAAAATCCCCATATGAGCCTAAATGAAGCGCTCAACTGAACCCTCAACGTCCCGAAGCTGCCCTAATGCATCCCTCCTCCGTCAGGGCACGACTCGCAGAGTTCGACACCGAGCTCGGTAAAGAGCAACGCTTCGCAGGGAAGTGATGATCGCACCTACAGGGATGCTTTTGGGTGCTATAGGGTTTAGGGTTTGAGGTATGGGGCTCTGGGATTAGGGTTTCGGGTTTAGGGCTCTGGGGGGTCACCCAACTAGAGCCTAAAACAACTTCTTAAACATAGTCATTCCTCGAAAGCCCAATAAGCCCCTTATTTCTTCACATTTCCTGTAGGCACTGTGCTCATATGGCACATGTCTAATTCTAACTAGTGCTCACTCGGACTCGGGTCATACTCCAGACGCAGGAAGATGGATGAAGCCCCAAACCCAAAACCCCAAACCCTGAGCTTCAGGAGCTCAGCTAAAGCCCCAAGCCCCGAACCCAAAAGCTAAAGCCCTAAGCAGCACTAAACCCAGGATCAAGCCCCAGGCTTGCAAGTCGAAAACCCTCCAAACCTTTGACCTCGTATCCGACCTTGAGCACTAGAAGCCCTGCGCTACCCTAAACTCTAACCCCTAAACCCTTAACCCTAAAATTACACCCAGGCACCGCCAGGCCGCCGAAGCCCCGCTCTTGCCGGAGGAATCCTGGGGTCTGGGAGGTTTAGGGTTGTTTGGCGGGTTGTAGGGGGTATAATATAGGGTTTGGGGGGTTTAGGGCTTCGAGGGCTTAAAAGGGGTTTGAAGGGTTTAAGGGGTTTAGAGGTTTAGAGATTTGGCAGTTTTTGTAAGGGGTTTAGAGGGCTTCAAGGGAATTCCCATTGCCGCCCCCCTGGGCGCCTGCGGCAAAGCCGTTTCCCGGACCGCCGGAGCGGTCGTTCAGGGTCAGCAGCCCGAACCTCGGCGCGGCATCTTCCAGGCAGCTTCTTTGTACGCAGCCCGAAATCCCTAAACCCCCTAAACCCCCAAGCCCTATACCATGTGAGCGAGACTTTCAAGGGCGCTGATTTTTGTTGAGGTCTGTAGGGATTTTAACAAGGGATTTTGAGGGTCTAGAGCTCTGGCTTTTGCGGGTTTGCGAGGCCCAGAAAGCCCCGAGCCGATCCGCAGCAGGCCCAGGTCACGCGTCGCTGAGCTTAGTGATTGGGGGTTCAGGGCTTCGGGCGACTGTCTAGGCCCAGAATTTCGGAATTTGGAGTTTGAGGGTGCGGGTTTAGGGTTGAAAGGGATTGAGGCTTGGGGTTTTGGGTTGATGGTTGCGGTGTCCCAAGCAACATGTCGCTGATGAGGAGGTAGCGGTCGGAGGCAGCTGGGCAGCCTCCCAAGTAAAGGCTTGAATCGCGGATCTCGTGACATCTCTCAACCAAAAGATCCCACATAAGCTGGGTAAACCTAGGACAACAATCCAAGGAATGTAAGGGTACCAAGGGAAGGGGGGGGGGGGGGGGGGGGGGGGGGGGGGGGGGGGGGGGGGGGGAGGGGGGCGTGGGCGTCAATGAATGAGCCCGAGAGGGCCTGAGAGTATACTACAAGTCTTCAAGCCCAATGGAGGGTCGCAAGATGCCCACCCACCCTCAAAACTTTCAAGCGAATCGAGCACCGCCTTTGGGCAGCATGGCACCCGCGTGGAAGGGCGCCGAGAAAAACCTCGGACGGCCAAGAAGCTGCTCATGTGAATGTGGTTCTGACGAAAGGGCCCAAGCAAGAAACTACTATAAGCACCCTGACGACATCAGAACAGAGAACCCAGAAGACTACCCTCCAGGGGTGCGCCCCGGCTGACCTGGCAAGCCCGCATGTAGATCATGCAGAACACCTCGGTGAGTCTTAGCGCTCTCATGCTCAGCCCTCCAAACTCTCAGCAGCAGGCCCTCAACCCAAATTTTCTTAAGGAACCATCAAAACATTTATATAAGAAAGGGAGCCTTAAAAGGACTTACAAGTATGATGATGATTTTTGCTTGTTGGGTGTTTCAGGCTATTGTTGCTAACTAATCCTACATAAGCAACCCTAAAGCCCGACACCTGTCTGAATGCCGAGCTCTCAACCCAAAAACCTTCCGAGCCAAGGGGCGGCATGGAGGTTTTGGGCTGCGGCACGGCCCCGTGGAGGGTGCCGCCTCGGGTTAAGGGTCTATATGGGTTTAGGGTTTAGTGTTTTAGGTGTAGGGTTTTGGGGTTTGGCGGTGTAAAGTTTGTAGAGGGCTTGGCGTTTAGGGCTTAGGGGATTTGACTCGTGTCTTCTGCTGGAGTCTTTCGGGTGGGGGGTCTAGGATTTAGGGTTTAGGGTTTAGTGTTCTGAGGTCTTGAAGTAGGGCTTCTCAAGTTCTCAAGTAGCTTGTGGTCTAGGGTTTGGGGTTTAGGGTTCTGAGGTCTTGAAATAGAGGTTTAGGGTTTCAGCCCGGCTCACAGACATCCCTCAACCATAAACCCAAAAAGCTCAACACTAGCACAGGCTGCCAACTTGGAGACTTGGAGGCTTCTACTTTCTGGGTTCGGGAGGGCTTTGGCCCTATGGCTTAAAGGCCCCTAAAGCCCTAAACGCTTTGACCGAGAGCCCTTGGGGTTTAGGGCTTTGAGGCCTTGATGTAGGGCGGACCTCGCAGCCGCAACTTGCAAGCTCCCAAACTACGAACCGAACAAAGCACTCCACGCAGACGGAGATGCTGAAACCGAAGCTCTGCCATCCATTGACCTCGGGGCGGCTAGGGCTTAAGGATTAGGAGATTCAGGGGCTTGGGTTTTGAGGGTTTCATGGGGATCAAGGGGTTTAGCGTTCAGGGTTCGGAGGGCATCAAGTGACTTCGGGTTAAGGGCTGCAATTAGGGTTGAGGATTTTGAGGGCTTAGGCCTGAAGGTTTTTCAAATTGAACTTACTTCTTATGGGTGCCTTATCTGATCTCGAAAGTTACCGGTACCCTAACTTAGACATAACCCCCGTGACTCTACTCGGGCAGCTGGGTTGGGTTGGCTGACACCTAAACCTTACGGAGTCATCCGGGAGCGGTGTTGCCGGGGTTTGGGGATACCCTGAAGCCTAAACAGCAGCTCACCGAAAGCTCTGAATGCCACTCTCCTGCCTCCAGTGGCCAAGGAAACGAGCAGCAAGTACCACCGGGAAACCGCACTCCCAAATCCGGCAGTTTCACCGCCGCTCCACGTGTAAGTCTTAGGGAAACCGCTCCCTAACAGAAATGCCGCTGCATCTGTCAGCAGTGCACGCACAAGAGATGCCTTCCACGACGCAAAGCCCTAAATCCTGGAGCCCTTGCCATGGATTACCCCCGCCATACATTGAAAATGAAACTCTGAAACTCTCTTCAGCACAGGCCCTTTATCGCACCTTGTCCTTTCTTAATGGGTTTACAGGGGAACCGAACCCCTTAAACAGGGATGAGATGACTACTGGGCAGGCAAACCCAGCCCTAAACCCTATATTCCCTAAGCCCGAAACCCTAAAACCCTAAAACCCTAAACCCCTAAAACCCTAAAACCCTAAAACCCCAAAACCCAAAAACCCCAAAACCCCAAAACCCTGAAATCCTAAAACCCTAAAACCCCAAAACCCTAAACCCTACACCATAACCCTAAAACCCTAAAACCTAAAACCTAAACCCTCTATTCCCCATTCCCTCTTCCCTAAACCCTAAACCCTAACCCAAATAATTCTAAACCCTATATTCCCCAAGCCCTCTATTGCCTAACGCGGCCAGGGTGACCCTAAAACCCTAAACCCTAAACCCAAATCTAAAACCCTAAACCCTATATTCCCCCAAAAAAACCTAAACCCTATGTTCCCTAAGCCCTCTATTCCCCAAACAAATCCTTAACCCTAAACCCTAAACCCTAAACCCTAAACAACCCTGTTTTCCCCTATTCCCTTTAATGCGGCCAGGGTGCCAGCAGGGAGCTGTGCTTCGACGTGCGAGCCGGGCCGGCACACGCGCGGCAGGCGACCTCCTCAGGTTCCACCTCCTTGTGGGTTCATAGTAGGGTTTGGTAGGGTTTATAGGGTTTAGGGTTTAGGGTTCAGGGATTCTAGGATTGACAGGCCCAGCGTACGTAGGACCTCTATGTCGAATGTAAGAACGTTTCTGTATATTGGTATTCGTGTATATGACTACATATGCACGTATATGAGCTTTATATCGTCTTAAGAGTTGCGCCAGCTTTAGTTTGCAGGAAAATTTTCAAGATGGGCAGTGTGCGGCTTTTTGGCCGCAAATCGTGCGGCAGCCAAACAGCCAATCAGCCAATCAGCGGATCAGCCATTCAGCGGATCAGCCCATCAGCCGATCAGCCGATTAGCCAATCAGCCGGCCGATGCGCCACAATCACGCACACTTCTGTTCCTGGGTGCGCTTTTATCATTATGGGGTGCTTTTTTATGCCAGGGCCGAAGGTCTGAGGACGCGGTGAAGAGTTGGCGCCGCGGTGCCTGGTTGCAGCCACTGCCCCACCATAGTGATTCAGCCCCAAATTCGCATGCCGATAGCGATACTTGACCGCCCGGAATCAAAATATCATTTCTGCACTATAGTGACTCTTTGGTTCTGGGCCTTCCCTCGCCACTTCAACTAACCCCATCCGCCCATCAGCCACTCAGCCGCCAATTAACCGATCAGCCAACCTG